GTACCAGCCTGTGTCATCCAACCTGATTTTGAGTTTCTGTGTCCTGCCGCAGAATCTACTGGAGAAGATCTCCAGGCTGGAAGACCTGTCCAACAAGAAGGAGCAGTACCTTCAATCCACCAAGATGATCGTCAGGTTCAGAGAGAATACCATCGCCCGGCTGCAGAAAGCCCAAGGCAACGACGAAACCACGGAGGATCAGCTGGTGGTAAAAACACCGTCACCACATTTCCCTACACTCTGCCTTTAACCCTAACCCTCCTCAATCCTTCACCTGTTGGAGGATTGAGGAGGGTTAGGGTTAATGTACCTAACCTTTCGTTTCATGGATATTGGCTCAAGCCACACAGGACTTGTTTAATGGTAAAGATGTCTTAAACTCAAATAGTGATGTGAGGTTTATCCAGTATGAAGGCTCTTTGGATAGATAACCAAATGGACCTATTGAGCAAGGTCTTTCTACCTCCCCTCACCTATAAAAACCCTTTTAAACATGTCTAATTTGTTGACGCATTTCAACACTTTGTCTTCCACTTTTGAAACCTTGTATCTTTAAACTCAGTGGGCAACTTTAAGTTTTATCGTCACCCTCACACTGTGTTGCAAGGACCCTTGCTAAATGTAAACATGGAACAGTTGTCAGAGTGAAAAAACTACTCAGTGTAACCAGATCAAACGGGTTAACTACTCTTACCTGTCTTAAGGCTGAATAGCCTCCAAGTCTAAGCCTATCAGGCAACACAACATACATATACATATACTGTATACATTTCATCAACATTTTCGCAAACAATGAATAATTTAATTTCATGAGCTTACATGCAGGGACACATGACATCTGATAGGAATTCACTCCAATTGTATACTTGTGGAATATACTATCAACATAGCTAAAACCTTTCTAATTTGAGAAATGAAGACAAGTTTCAGCCGATGTACATTTAATTAAAAAATGTACAGAGTAGAGTACACATTCAGTACATGTGAAAACTATTGTCCGTGCGAGGCGCGCACGCCAGTGCTGCTTCGTAATAAGTGGTGATGCCAGTGATGATTCTAATTGGTTGGTTTATTTCAGAGTGACTTGAAGAGTGAGATTGCCGCACTGAAGCAGCAGTTGGCCCGCAACCCCACTGTCACACAATACGCCATGGAGAATTGCAATCTGCGCAACGAGAACAAGAAACTATTGGCTTTACAGTCAGTGCGTTCAGGCATGGAGTACGACAACGACCGGGCTCAGCAGCTTGAAAAAGTCTTCAGGGAACTCATGGCTTATATAGAGGGTGAGGCTTTCAAGAATATCTAGATTTACAGCCATAAAATGTACAAATCACACGTTAGATTTTCTCAGGAAGCCGGGTGATTAAAAACACGTTTGGAGTAGCTGATAATTTCAATTTTTGATGCAGTTTAGGTTCCAAGTAATATTGAATTTATACTGTTTATTTGTGTAATATTCTGTTTGACAGCAGTAAGGATGTAAGCCATTAAAAAAAGGAAAAGATTAGACAACAGCTGTTTGTGTAACTGGTTGTGCAGATGTAGTCTGTTCTCTTCATAGACAAAAAATCAAATTTTTTTGTTCCTCTGAAATAAAAAACTTTAGTCTAAATCTTGGGCAGACAGTCATTGTGCAGTGGCTGCATGCAGTCTTGAATAACATGTACTTTGCTGTGCGTCTGCAATGAATTGATTGCCACGTTATTTGGATTTCGTGAGGGAGATGCCATCTTTTTGACCTCGTTTGAGAAAATGAGGCAGAAACAGGTCCAGTGATTTTGGATGTGGTTGACTGTAAAGTTGAAATATTCAGAAGATACTTTAGGAACACAAAGGAATTGATGCCCATTATAATTTTACAGAGCAGGATCTGCCAAATGTTAGCAATAACCTAAACTGTCCACTGTTTAGTCTAGCATTGTTCCCAAAAGAACAGACAGACTTTGATTATTTACGGGGGATAAGCAGATTACTACCATCTTGATCCAGCCTACATCAATATTTCAAAACAGTTTTTCGGGTTTTTAATTGGTAGAAACCCTGTAAAGTCAAGTGATTTTATTTGGAATACTCCAGGTCAGGAAAAGCCAGGGAAATATGTAAAATAAATTGATTGTGAGGATTTGTTTAGTTTATCTTTGACAACATTTTTTGGCATCAGAAATCTAAGTTCTGTTGCATAGTATGGCCGATTTTGCTGATTAAGCATTGCCTTGCCTTTCTGAATCTGTTAAGCACCTTTCAGGAAACAAGGTTTACACTTTTGATCTGCATTTTTGTGCAAAGGAACCCAGAGATTTTTGTGACATCAACTTTTACATCCTTGTACCCAGGTGGGGATCGCCGGACCAGCATCTGCCCCTCTCCATCCCGGACGCCCTCTCAACATGGGGACCATCACATGGCCATCTCCTCTACCTTTGACAAATACAAGGCGCAGCTCAAGCAGATGCAAGCAGAGAGGGACACAGTCAGTATACTTCTTACTTCTTAGATTTAGATTTGTAGTTTTGCAGTAACATCAACTGGGACTCAACCAGTAACTCAACTGTACCATACATCTGTGGATAACCGTTAACAGGCATCTACCAAGTGCCAACTCAGTCATCAATCCATCATTTCAAACAGTGCAGGGTTGACGCACAGAATTATCATGTGGCGTTTCACTGTAGAAAAGCACGGAGACAGTACTCTCCCCAGGCTGAACAGCTTGCAGTTGTTTTTCATGTTCATTTTGGGGTTGACCTTGCCCTAGGGTGAAACCTGAAGCCTGGTTTGCTTGAAACAAGAATGAAATGAAGAAGGATCCAACGCAGGGTGAAAAAATCAAAATCTCAACTCAGGGTAGCCTTGGGCTCATCCAGAGTTAAGTTCGCCCAGGTTGATAGTCATGTATGAGGAGACCGATGCTTTACGCTACTTTATATCGCACTCTCATTCAAACCTTTTGGCCCAAACTGAAATATCCAAATAAGCGAATATTCAATCGATTATCGAATAATCAAATATTATTTTTGGAATTTGAATATTCGAATGCAAAGTTCATGAAAAGGAAGGGAGAATTTTCTTTTGTTTAAATGAAAAAATTGCACTATTGAGGCTTTTTTCAAGTATATTCGAATGAAAAGCAACAAAAAAGCTTACAACGATATAAAAAATACATTATTTATTAAAAAATTGAAAAGTAATATACATTTTCAACAGGAAAAGAATTATTATTTGTCACTTCAATCTTGCTAAATCGTGGCTGGAGATACTCGTAGACTTGAGAAACTATTATAATGATGATAATCTACAATTGTGTGCATTATTGCAACTGATTTTGTATATGGTTTGTTACTCAACAATCTGCCGATCGGTATGACCGAATAGTTGGATATTCGATCAAATAGGTCAAATATACGACTAGTGAATTATTCGAATTGACTCAGCCTTATAACTGTAGATTTAAAATGATTGAAATATACATGTACGTGGATCCCACTGATCCTAAATTAAAGTATAGTCAGAGTCTTTGTCGTCGGTAATGCTGGGGGAAATGATTTTTGGATCTTATGGTCAATCAGAAGTGTAGTGGATTTGTTTTTAATATCTCACTTGCAGGCCAGACAGGAGCTGTCAGAACAGTCGGAGGTGTGGAGTAAGACACAACTGAAGCTGGAGGCAGAGGTGGCTTCTTACAAGAAGACTGTCAACGAGTTGGAGAATGCCCTGGAGGCCTTCAAGGTCAAGACCAAGATTGAGAGGGACACCATGAATAACCTGCATATGAAGACCATCAGGGTAAGTCCAGAAAAGGAAAAAAAGGAAGACCATCAGGGTAAGCCCAGAAAAGGGGAAAAAAAAACACTAAAATCCCTAATAAATTGCCATGCCACACACTCTCCAATTGAGTGACAGACCTGATTTTGCTTTTCACGTCTCTAAACAAATCTTGTATGATGGAAATGTTTTTTTCACCCACTTAATGTTTGGTTGAGTGTGATGCCTAACTGAGTGATGGATTAAAATGACGAGATTAGAATAATCTTTCTGTCACATATGCAAAAAGCAGAGAAGTAAAAAATGTCCTTGAAATTGCTTTTGTTATTATCTGGTAACAAATGTCAAATCATCCCATTAATACAGTTACTATCATTGGTTTTCCATTTGTGGCAACAAGGAAGACTTGTTGCTGTTTGTCCCAAGTAGTCATTGCATATCTTTTTGTGAAGCTCAAACTTTGCAAACTTTAAGTTACTGCTTTCAAAAGAAGTCCAAACTTTCAGTGTGCGCCAACAAACAGGCAAAGTTATACATTTAATATTTCGTGTAATTTTATTATTGTTATATCTTTCCTTCAAGTTCTTGTATCTGGAAGGGATGCAATTTTCTTGCTAATGCATTGCGTTCGCTCGTTATAGTCTTGACACTAACTTGAAACTCTCTTGCAAACTCGTTAGACTCTGCGTTTGGGCATTTGACACCGTGGCAACCATCACTTAGAATAATATTCACATGCTTCATTTTTTCCAGAATATGGCAACCCCCAAGAAGGTTGCGCACACTCTCCGCAACCGAGTAATCACAGTCCCCAACACCGACGACGGTACTCCTCTTAATCCACGACGACTTGTGGAACCGTCGGAGGAATCGTCACCTCTCACGGATGAAGAGGGCATTGTGGATGAGGAGATACCAGAGCACATGATCGAACAGTGCAACGAGGCGCTGACGGAGGAAGTCAAGAAGCTCCAAGTATGAAATACTGTTCTTGTTATTTTCATTTCTTTTTAAGAGAAGGTAATAGCAGTAGACCTTGTGAGCCAGCTCTCTCTCAGATGTTAATGTTAGTAATTACGGCCACAAGGAAGGCCTTGTTTGTTGTGCGCTCACAGGTACATTTCTCTTAGAAAAGGCCATGGGTTGTGCCTATTCAGGCGAAAATTGGTCTAACATACTTTTCACTCACTGGTTGTTGTGAGTAGGCCCCTGCAGTGCCATATGAAGTTCCTAGACGGAGAACATGCTCCCGTTCATTAGACTAAGAACCTTTGATAGTCTCACTGCCTTTTGAAATTCAGTACAAAATATTGGTATTTATTTTGTGACTCTTAAGAAGTTCCATATTCACCTATCACCAGTTGTCATGCAAAAACAGTTTTATTTGTCTGTTAAGGTAAATAAAATTTGTTTTACAAGTTGTTTCTGATCTGCATGTACTTGCTGCTCAAGACTTAATCTCGGTCAGCATTAATTCCAAGGCATCAGCAGCATCTCAAAGACTCCATTTCAACTGGGAGTGAGGGTTTTTCAACGTTAGGTGAAGGTTGGTTCATACTAGCGCCAAAGCAAACATGTAAACTGAATGAAAACTGAACCGAGTGAATGTAAACGTGTAATGTCAAACCAGCTATCTTTGGTGCCCATATGCGAAAGTTGAACACATTTAAACCCAATCAAATTTTGCTGCAAATATTTCTTTACGTCAAATGCGCTTGGATTTATTGTTCGTTCGAAGTATGAACCAGCCTTACAGTAAGTAGCCCAAAAACATTTTGAGTCTTCACGAGAAATACACTGGATTGATTGACATTGCATAGGAGGAAAACTCAAAACTCCTGCAGAGCCTCCAAGATGAAGAGACAAACCGACTGAAACAAAAACAGACGGAAGCCCTCCTAGAACATCAACTTGAACAGCAACATCAGGTAATACAGAAGATAGACACATTGGTTTGGGTTACAAATGCTGGATGCTTTAGTCAACATTGACACATGCTCCTGTTGGTACATTCCCAATGGATGGTGTTATCATCTTACATAGGCCAATTTCATAGAGCTGCTTAAGCACAAAATTTGCTTAAGCGGGAAAAAACTTTGCTTAATAAACAAAGGTTACTCAGCTCAAACTCTATCTGATAGTCATGCTAACCAAAAAAAAAGCTAAATACGATCAAAAAAGCAATATACATAACATGGAGTTTTGGCTGGTTACCTGATTTATCAAGTAAGGCTTTTTCGTGCTTAAGCAAATTTCATGCTTAAGCAGCTCTATGAAATTGGCCCCTGTAGATTGAAGAAGGATGAATTGCATAAGGCAAAGCACAAACAATTCTATTTAAAATTTATTGTTTTGTTCGCTCGAGCGTGGGCCGAGAATAATAGCTGAAAAGTGGGCTGAGGGATCTCAATTTTTACAGCGTCTCTTATCACTTCCTGGCGCGAAGGGGTTAAATACCTCTCCTTCAAATGATTTGTTTTTGTCATGCACAGCTTTTAGAATCTGAGCAGCAACAAAAGGTGGAGTTGAAAGCTGAAGCTGCCAGGCTTTTGACCAAACTTGACGACCTGGAGAAAGACTACTGCAGTAAGTACAATCTTGAATATTTAGGGCCTGTTTACTAAAAATTTGGCAACGATAGAAGAACTTGCTTAGCGAACACAGCTCACCAAGCAGAATATTTTGCAGATTTGTTTGTATCTGGTGTCCCACTGATTAGTGCTCAGCATATAAATTTTGCTATGCAATCTCACAGTACAATATTTATACTGGCCTGTTTATTTATAAGCTGCTAAGCTTCAGAAGAACTTGCTTAGCGAACACAGCTCACCAAGCAGAATATTTTGCAGATTTGTTTGTATGTGGTCTCCCACTGATTAGTGCTCAGCACATAAATTTTGCTATGCGATTTCACAGTACAATATTACTGGCCTGTTCATTTATAAGCTGCTAAGCTTCAAAATTTGGCACGGACAAAACACAGCTCATCAACCAGAATGCTTTGCATTTGTTTGTATGTGGTCTCCTGCTAATTACTGCTCAGCATATAAATTTGCTAAATTTTTTAGTATGTTACTACTTGAGTCAGGCCTGTCCATTTTAGTTTTTCTAATTAGTCGACAGGAACCACTGTAATTGCATCGCATGTTGCATGCCATTTTTTGCATGGACTCAAATGACATCTTGCTTTCACTTTGCAATTTTACTCAAATTGAGAACTCTCCGAAAGGGGAAATATGGAAGAAGAAGAAGAAGAAAGTAAATTTGACAAAATATGCAGATTTCTGTGTTATTTTAACTTGAATTTTGAATTGTGTAAGGTGGAAGTATTGGCCAAAATTTGTCATTGTCCCACTAATTGTGAAAAAATTACAACCTGGGCTCAGCACTCTTAAAGTCTGACTTTGTAAAGGACTGCGTTCGTGGTTTCTCTTCATTTGAAAAAGTCAGTATTTTCAGCCCAAAATAATACCATCGGCAAGCAGTTGAAGTGCAAGTTGAAGTATACAGTAAATTGTGTGTTTGTGGTTCTGCTATAGTTGCCAAGAGCGAAGCTGAGGATATGAAGATCATGCTGCAGTCAGCAGATAAAGTGATGGGAGAGGAGAAGAAACAGCTACAAGAAGCTGTCGCTGAAAGGGAGAAAGCCTTCGCTGCCCTGGAATCTAAGGTGGGTATCTCTTGCCGGTAATGGACATGGATGAAGATGTCACCACAGAGCGCGGTCTTGCTTAGCAGCTGTTTATCCTGACCGATGTACATGTACTCTTGTGTTAACGGCAGTAAAGAATGATAGAGTGCATAATTAGAGTAGAGGACAGTGTGCTGTTTTGGCCCTCGGCTTGACCTGGACAAGTGTCAATCAATTTCACGTTTGCCATTCTCTGTATGCACTTGTAAACTTTGTAGTGGGCCACAGAGCTCATTAGAAATATTCAATGGCATGGTATGCACTGGTTGTGTTCAAGTTGTTTGGAAATGGGATAAAATAATACACAAGATATAGGCTTGCAGGTACACCATGGAATCAATCTCTTTTGGAAGAGGTGTGGTTCTTAGAAGAACCGGTGACCGGTTCCACCATGCAAAGCTTCAAATCTTACTTATAAAAAAATACACATGGCTAGGATAATGGAGGGTGAACTTATTTGAGGTAGAGATAGAGTAAATATGGTATTGACCCTGTGTGAGAATAGTTGATGGTATGGTGTTGCCTAGTCATGAAATCCAGTGTGTTGCAACTGCTGTTTAGATGTAGACTGCAATTCAACAACTGACCAGTTGCACTGATCAATGCACACATGCAATACAGTCACATTGGAATGACCTTCACCAAACCATTTGGTAAAATATTATTGTCACATTTTGCCATTGGTTATAACTCCCCAGCTTGTGGGGTTCGCAGTCAGTGACACCTTGCGCAGTTATTTTTCATGGGAATGAATCCCTCTGTATTCGTAAATGGAAATGACTATTGGTAGACAGCAGTGCAACCATTCTGTGGGGCTTATTTCCTAAGTGGCCGACTAGATGGTCCGAACTATTAATCGTTTGGGCGACATTGGTTGGACTAGGGTTCACTTAAGTCATCAATAGAACTTGCTCATAGCAATCACGCAACTGTCTTGTACATCCAAGTAGTCAGCGCCTGTATCAAAATCACTAATAACAGTCAACGTTACAAGAATCCAAACTGTGAACTGTTCTGGACTAGACTCGCGTCAGCTTGACTCCATTTGTTGCTGATCACTAAATTCCCTCAGGTCATCCGTACGGAGGTGGAGTTATCCACAGCAAAGCGGGAGGCGGAGCTACTGACAGAGGAGAAGCGTGAGCTGGAGGATGTAGAGAACACCTTGCAAGCCGAGGTGAACTTCAAGGAGCAACAACAGGAAGAATTGGAGGCGGTCGTGAGGGAGGAGAGAGGACGTGTCCGGGCGCTGGAGGTGGAGATGCAGGTTCGAAATGGGAGGCACTAATTAAGGCCGAGTCAACTTGAATAAATGAATATATGAATATTCAACCTTCGATTTGATTGAATATTTGGTTGTACTCTCACAGTTTTATTAAAAAAAATTTAAAAGAAGAAAAACTTGAGTGAAAAATTATTTTTGGCCATGCTGTTTGGCACATGTAACAGGGATACCCGACTTCCGGCAGTTACCAGAATTCCAGCTTTTTCGTATTTTGAAAAAACCCGTGGCCTTTGGTATTTGTGGGCCAGAACGACGCTATTTTTAACTCACATTTAAAACTTAAAAAAAATACAGCACTTTCGTATAACCATATGTGCCGTAATACATGTGTACGATTCAATTTATACTTAGTATGGGCAATGTATAAGAAGTGCCCTTTGAGATATACCTGTATACAGGTGATATCCAGTATGTGAGGACTTGACTCCATGTACCTGTTTTAGTGTGGTGTACACTTTGCTGTAGTGAAATCATATAAATGTCACACGTATGACACGTCATGTGACACAGATAAATGTCACACGTATGACACGTCATGTCACACAGTTGTGTTTTTCTATACTACCAAATAAAGGACATTTTGTTACCCATGGTGCCTACACTGCAACACTCTCCCATTGACTAAGTACAAGAACTTACCATCAAGAACTACAGACAGATTACTCTGCACAGAGAAATATCCCTTATTCCCTCAGTGTTCTGTCTTCTATGGTAAAGTAAAATATGTATTCCAGAACTTCCCTGTAAAAGAGCTTCTTCCCTGCCATCTTGGAAAAGTCTGTAACTAAACAGTCCCAAAGAGAGTATTCACTTTGAGAGAATGTGGAGAGCTGTGTTACCCCAGTCAGTCCCATCTGTTTAAGAATGTCCGTCCTGTTGGTTTGTAGTCTTTGATGGAGAGACTTGACACCGAGTTTGAGAAGAATGCCAAGTTGTCGGCTGAGCTGCGGGAAGGGTCGGACAGCAAACAGCAGCTGTTGGAAACCTTGGAGGTGATGGAGCAGCTACGAGCCAGCAATAGTCAGCTTCACAACCTCTGCAGCGAAAAGGTGAGGAATAACCCCATTAATGTTGCTTCTTAGTGGTTCTGGAATTGTTTATGTTTATGTCACTGTCAGGAGATGTTTTAAGGTGGTCATGCAACTGAAAAATTGACCCACAATCCTTTGTACTTGTCACTGCAGTGTTAGGGGTCAGTAGCCAATAAAAACTGGTGACGTTATGACAGAGTTCAAATGATTGAACTTTGACATGGTCGCTGACGTATCTTTTCATGTCTGAGCCAGTGCACAATAATCGCCATAGCTAACAAACTTAACGGTAAAAAAAACAAGCAAACAAAAACTGCAGTTTGACTTATATAGCTTTATGGGAAAATTCTTTTACTCTACTTCCATAATGGACTCTTTACACTGGATGAGTGTGGAGCCTAATAAATTTCAAAAAAAGAATTTTCAAATGGCTTTAGAAATTGTTTAAAGTTTTTTTAACAGTTGAGAGATGGCTTTTAATATATTCGAGACGGGACTTGGCATAGATTTGCATTGCTGTTTGGAAGCAACTGCATCTCCTACATAGTGCAATGGAAAATGAAGAAATAATAAATGTAAGTGCTACATATTGGTGAGGCCAAGACACCCGTTTTCAATTTATCAAAGGATACTCATCTGACAAGAGCCAAGGACGATTTGGATGCAGCTTCTGGGACGATAGCGGTGCTGCAGAAGAGAGCAGTGGAGGATAAGGTATGACGAGACTCGATGAGCCTTACCTTGGTGGTCATGATCCTACCCTGGCTATCTTTGGAACACTGTATAAAAACCCGAGCCATAGAGTCAACAAAACTGCAACAGTTGTCAAAGTTGGATGCCCGTGAAGCGTAGCGACTCGGCAATTCAAATTCACATGACAGGACGTGCCATCCTGAAAAGTGAATCTCCTGCTTGATTTTCTGTAGCATTACATACCTGCAATTCATGAGTTTTCACTGAAATTTTACTCCAGAGATTGGCCCTTGATAAGCAACAGTTTCATCAGCTTCGCAGGTTCTGAATAGGATCATTTTAATATTCTTAGCATTAGCTCATGGCAATCTTCGCATGTAAGGAATAATTTAAAGAATATCTTCAGAAAACTAAATAGACTTTCTTTTGTACTTTTTGAGAAGAAATTCGTTTCATACAAAATGTCAGCAGAAGACAAATGTGGACTTTCAATTGTTGCTTTCAATGAATTCTTTGAACTTTTGGTGAAGCATAAAAAAATCTATTGATTTTACTAAGTGCAAAAAGAAAAGCTTGAAGGGAAAAGCAATTTTTGGTCTTATTGTTGGGCACACATTTAACTGCCCTTAACTCTAGTCCCTCGTAATGCCTTAAAATGCACTTTTAGAATACATTATTGTAACCAAATAAATGAATTTCGTTTTTCATTTCACTGCTTTTTCACCTCCAAATATTTGATTTTGTAATTGAGTTCCTGAGAATTGATTGCATTATGAAGATTTGAATTATTGGTGCAACTCTGGATAACTGTGTTTTGCCCTCCCTGCCTTTGTTTATTTTTAGGACGCCCTAGGCCGCATGGTCGGCACTGTTCACGACCTCCGCCAGACAATCCTGCTGAAGGATGACTCGCTGAACCTTGCCAGCCAGGAGCTGCAGGACACCAGGCGCCGCTGCGAGTCCCTGCAGGCCGCCCAGGGGGAGTACAGGAACGAGGTGCAGGGGTTGCAGAGGGAGCTAGAGGAGCTGACAGAGGAGATGAACAGCCTGGGCTGCGCTCACAACATGGAGGTAAGGGGTCGTGGTGGTGAGACTGGTGGTGATGATTGATGGTGGTGGTACTGATGTTAATTTACATTTTCCCCAGTGGCTAGTTAACGTTTCCGAAGAAGCATCTGCTATTACAACACATGAAAAGAAAATCTGTAACCCACCTGTGTATGTAAAGACTTTGAGAAACTACATGAACTAGGAGTATTGGTACACTGAACACTGGAATGCTATAATATGGTATCACATTGGTACACCAATATGCATGTGGATGGATTTGATTCAAGCAGGTTTTATTCATTTGAAATAGGTGAGTCCCCAAAGTACATTAGGACCCTTCATGACAAAGGAAATAGGCAAATTAGTTGAGCAGATAATCTGAGATTTGCGATCCAGTAAATCAGAGATCAGAAATTGGAACACATTGTGAGTCGTGTCAGACAAATGGGTGAAATTCTGTAACAGGGGTTTAATAGGGCGGAAAGATTTCATGGAATGCCTTTGTCGCAGTCATTAGAATGGCCTTTGATTTGAATTAGGATGATTTGTTCATAACTCATTTAAAGCTTTGTCTTTCCATGAGGTTGAGGCGCCTTGTGTGATGTCTGACACATTTGCAAATGGGGTGTAGGGGTCTCCCGTGGTAACTGTTATGGAATGTTTCAAAGCATCTTGACATTTGTCAGCAAGGTATCTATAGAGAAAATGCAGTTCCAGACATAACATGGCCTCCGCACCATCCCCATCCTTTGCACTCAGATGGAGATGCTTCAAGAAGAGCTAGATGAGGTCAGAGGTCAGTACCAGAGCCTGATGGGAGAGATGACAGAGCAGGAGAAGCACCTTCAGGCTGCTCAGGCAGAGTGTGAGGCCAGTGCCGGACAGTTAGTCGCCCTTAAGAAACAGGTCAGTCAGTTGCAAACCTTTTGTCGACTTGAAATCAAG